AAAAAATTATATATAAAAATAAATATTATATTTAAATATATTTATATTATATTTTTAAAAAAACATGTAAATTATATTTTAAATTTAAGATAAATAATTTATATTTTGGTGCAAAAATATTTTTAATTATTGCTAATTTATTTTAAGATATTGAATTTTAATTTATAAATAAATATGATAATAAAATTATAATTATATAATAAGTTAAAATAATTATTAAAAGTGTTCTCATTATTCTTAAAATTGTTTTCATGCGAGATAATTTTTTATGTTTAATATATAGAGGTTGATATAAAGTATTAATAATTTATTTTTCAAAATATTAGAATTAAATTTAAAAATAAATAAATTTGATAGAACAAAAGAAATAATATATAACATATTAAGAAAAAATTTAAAACTTGTTTTATTAAAAAACAATCTAGTTAAAATGCACTCTTCAAGAAATAACTCTTAAATTATTTTAATATAATTATTTTAATTTTATATAAATGGTATTATTTATTATATATAAATAAATAAATAATGTATTATTCTTGTAGTTATTAATTAATTTTGTAAGTATCTTAAAATTTAAAATTAAAAGTCATATTCAAACTAAGATTTAGTAAGATTACAGATTGTTAGTTTTAACGTGAAATTTAAAGTTTAATTGAATTTTAGGTTACATTGAATTAGTACATTCAATTTAAAAGATATATGCTAAAGGGATTTTTCTAATATTATAGGTATTTATTTATGAAATAAAAAAATACGTGGTTTGTTCAGAAAATTTGGATTTACAAAAAATATTTCCCTAAAATACTGATGTTTAACATAATATAATAATAATAATAGTAGTAGTAGAGATAATAAGGTAAAATCTTAAATATATTATTCAAACTATAGTCAATTGTTTTGTACATGATTAGTTTCCTATCATAAGTTTTAACATTTTATTGGGTACTTTTCTAGCACATGTGATAACATTTTATTATTTGTGGCTTTTTGATTGTGCTAGATTTTGACGTATTTGGGTTTAGGTTATGTGGTTTAATTAATTAAGATCATTTTTTATCAATAATATTTTAGTTGAAAACAAAAATAAGCTTTTTCTCTCGCTCTCTTTTTATCAACTTACAATGGTTTAATCACACGTGTTATTGTTTTTTTTTCTTTTAATTCTTTTAATGTAGGGAAAGGCCGGTCACGAACTATTATCGTAATCATTTTCCCTACCATTATTGTATCGGGGATACTTTTTACTTTTTGTTGCTATTTGATCCGAAGAAAAACAAGAAAGAATAATAAAGTTATTCTTAGAGAAAATTGTAAGTATGGTAAAAAAACAATTTAGCACTAAATTTTCAATTATAAATTTTAAAGAAGTTTAATTACAAAATTGGTTTAACAATTAAAATATTTTTTTTAGTTGGACATGAAAGTTCTACTATAGAGTCATTGCAATTCAATTTAGCAATAATTGAAGCAGCCACAAATAACTTTTCGAATGAAAACAAGATTGGGAAAGGTGGATTTGGAGAAGTTTATAAGGTAAAAGAAAATATGTTATTAAATTTTAATTCTTATATGTTCTTATTTTTGACATAAATAATCATTTACATTTTTAGGGTGTTCTTATTGATGGAAGACATATAGCTGTAAAGAGACTCTCAAGAAATTCTAAGCAAGGTGTAGAGGAGTTCAAAAATGAAGTTTTATTAATAGCCAAGCTTCAACATAGAAATCTAGTGGCATTCATAGGATTTTGTATTGACGAACAAGAGAAAATACTTATCTATGAATACGTGCCAAACAAGAGTCTGGACTATTTCTTATTTGGTTTGATACTTTTGACCTATCTTTAGTTTTTTAAAGTTTAACATTCATGCATTATTTATTTATGATATTTCGTGTATTATATCTTGTATTCAAATGATCAACTACAAGACATGCATCACTTAATTTTTCTCACATGATGAATATTTCTTGTAGATACTGAATTAGAAAAGGTTTTGAGGTGGTCTGAGCGTTACAAAATTATACAAGAGATTGCTCGAGGAATTTTATATTTACATGAACATTCTCGACTTAAAGTTATACATCGTGATATTAAACCTAGTAATGTACTATTAGACAAAGATATGAATCCAAAAATTTCAGATTTTGGTCTTGCTAAAATTGTTGAAATAGATCAACAAGAAGGAAGTACAAAGAGAGTTATTGGAACATAGTAAGTTTTCAAATACTTATTCCTACATTTCTAATTCTTTGTATGATATTTTTTAAACTAATTTGTAATTTTTCATTATTTTACAATGGCTATATGTCTCCTGAATATGCTATGTTTGGACAATTTTCTGAGAAATCAGATGTTTACAGTTTTGGGGTTATGATTTTTGAGATTATTAGTGGAAGAAAGAACCTAGGTTCATATGAGCCACACCATGTTGATGATGGTCTTCGAAACTTTGTGAGTACAATGATTTTACAATATTTTTGGTTTTATTTTTAATCATGATTAATATATCATTAAATCAATCTAAAAGTAAGGAAGTGTAATGGTTTGACCAAGCTAACAAATTGTTACAGGTTTGGAGACACTGGATGAATGAAACACCATTGAACACATTGGACCCAAAATTAAAAGAAGATCATTCTCACATTGAAGTCATTAAATGTATTCAAATTGGTTTATTATGTGTTCAAGATTATCCAAATGATAGACCTTCGATGATGACAATTGTCTCATATCTCATTAGTAACTTAGTTGAATTGCCTTCTCCAAAAGAACCGACATTTTTCTTGCATAATAAAATGGATCCAATTGTTGCACATGCAAGTTCGAGGCGAATTACCAACTATTCCACATCATTCTCTATCAATGAAATGTCTATGAGTGACATTTATCCTCGATAATTTAAATTTGTATGTTATTATCTAGTTATATTTTAATGCATTATAAAATTTTACTTGACACTTAATTTTGTTGTAGAGATCAAGTTATGAAGTGTGGTTCAATTTAAAAGTTTAAGCTTTGTTTTGTGCCTTTACAACTTTTCTTTTACAAGAAGAAAATTATATCATTTTCTTCATATTAAGATATTCAATACAAATGGAAATCAAATCATAAACATGGTGACTAGCATGAAAAATGGATGCTCTAGCTAAAGTATAAGCAATCCTATTAGCTTGTTCCATAATTAAACTGACCACATAGGTTTGAGAAATAGATAGAATAGCTCTACAACAAGCTAGAAGCGTACCAACTTTTGTTTAAAATGGAGGTGCTCTTGCTAGCATGTCAACCATAAATTTGCAATCTAGCTTAATGAAGATATCATGGAGTCCATCCTCTTAAATCTAGGTTAAAGCTTCTAGAAGACTATGAGCTTCTGCCTTATGTGTAGGTGGAAGCGCCTGGTATAGAGTGGATTTTGCCTAAATAAAGTTACCTTAATCATTTAGGACGCAAATTCTTGAACCAAAACTCAACTGGTGGGAGAAAAGGGCTACATCAACGTTGTTGATCAAGCTTAAGATAAGACATAGTCTTAATTGATTTTGATGATTACAAATAAGTCTCTTGAAAGATAAGAATGCAACTTGTTGTAACACCCCAATTTTCATAAATTATATTAATGATATTTTAGAAAATTATTTCAATATTTTAATATATTTATTAAGGGATTTTTGGTATCATTTAATTATTGATATAAGCACTATTTTTATTATAAAACATTAATTGTAATTTATTATTTTCATTAGTGATATAGAATGTATTTTTATGAAAGGTATTTATGAAGGATTATGCTCATGTTATTTAATAAAAAGGAGGAAAGGTGTTTTATATTATTTTATGAGAAGGGAAGGAAGGATGTAGTAGTCTTTCAATATTTTAAAATATTTATTAGAGTTAATCACCTATACACTACCAGTGTAAAGTTTTTTTACACTAGCAACCAATTATAGTAAAGTTTTTTTACACTAACAACCAATTATATCTTTTAACTGTGTCATGTCACTGTTAAAAGTAAATGTATTTACAGTGATATGACATAGTTAAAAGATATAATTGGTTGACAGTGTAAAAAAACTTTACACTAGCAGTGTATAAGTGATTAACTCTATTTATTAAGGGATTTTTGGTGTCATTTAATTATTGATATGAGCACTATTTTATTATAAGGCATGAGTTGTAATTTATTATTTTCATTAGTGATATAAAATGTATTTTTATGAAAGTTATTTATGAAGGATTATGCTCATGTTATTTATTAAAGGAGGAAATGTGTTTTAATTATATTATTTTATGAGAAGGGAAGGAAGGATATAGTAGTCTTTTGCTAATTATTATTATTATTATTATTATTTTATTAATTTGAGAAAAGAGAGGTTATTAGAAGTTACCAGAGTCATTCCACGCATTCACTCCTCTGACTCATTTTCTTTCTTTCTTACGCCTTCTGAAGAATAAGGAGAACCCAGAGAAGAGGAACAACCAGATTTCGCTCGTGCCTTATCTTCTGATCATCAAGGTAAGGGGGGAGTGAGAAACCTCAATCAGGGGTGTAGGAATAATTGTTGGGTAGTAGGATTGACCCCCAATCCCTTGCCTAATGCATGCTTTAGGAATAGGCAAATTATGAAAGTTTTCTGTTTTAATACCTGAGTTTTCTGTTGGGTTCTTGGTTGGATGTGATGCATGAATATGTATTTGATTTGAAATTAAATAAGTTTTGATATGAATTAGAGTGTTCTGTGAGTTCCTGTGGGAAATCCTATGAGAAACAATTAGGGATATGATCTTTTGACAAGATTTGAGGTAGTTTACATAAAATTGAGTATGGATTCGTGTTCTGGGAGTTATTTGAAATGTTTTTATCGATTGAATACTATGATTGCATGTTTGGTTGTGAAATGCACAAGATTTCGCGAAGTTAAGTAATGCAGGTTCGCGTTGGGGCACCGGGCGCAGTTCTTAGCGCCGAGCGCAATTTTTAAGCTGGGCTTAGTTTTTTTAAGTCGAGCTTAACAGTTAAGTCGGGCGCAATATTTTTAAGTCGAGCACAGGAAAGTCTCGTCGAGCAAATTTCTCCGCTTTAGGAGTGATATTAAATTCACTGGGCGTGCTTAGGATGCGCCGAGTGTGATGCTCTACTTTTGGTGTGGTATTTAATGCGCCAGGTGCGAGTTGGGGCACGCCGGGCGTGATCCCTATGATGTTTTACATGTTTTATGTCTTGTTTGAAGGTGTAAATTGTGTGGGAACTACCTTATTACTATGTTAACTTAAGTGATGTGTTCTATGAGCATGATAATGATAATAATCTCCAAATGATGATCTTATGAGTATGATTATGAGAAATGTGAAATGTGAACAAGTGACATGAGACATGATGTGAATTACGCGCTATTGTGAATACTATGACTATGAGAATGTGAAACGTGATGAAATGAGATAAGACATAATTCCTTGACAAGTAAAATGTTGAGTCCATGAGTTTGTGAATGTGTGACATGCATCATATGCATTTATGTGACGGGGTACGATATGGAGTACATCGTTAGGGAAGACCCACCAAGTGTGAAACATCTTGGAGGAGACCTAGGGAATAGTGCGGTTTGGAAGGCCCAGTTCTGCTCGTTTGTGTGCATGGAACGTATCTTGTGCGGCTTCGCTATCCCGACGAGATCCTAGCAATACATCCTTCTAGTTGAGAGTGTACGATTGAGCCGGCATGTACTCCTATAATACTCTAGTTATGTTGCTTCGGTAGCATACCACATGATACATGATTATGAGACACATGGCTGGCGCCACTTGCATGCATTTATGAGTTGAGTCCATGACATCATTGCATGATAGATGAATGTACATGTGATGCTAATTGGGTATGTGTATTATTTATATGTGATTTATGCTTGGGCCTTGTATTATGTTTATTGTGTGTATGCTGTCTAACTTTTATTTTTGTACCTGAACCTGAGTGAGGTGTTTCTCACTCCCTTGTTGCTCTTTGTATGTGTTTAAATTGCGTTGCAGGTGCTCATCAGCATGAAGATGTTGGTGATGAGGCTTAGACTTCAGTTGGGCATGCTCTGATAGGATATGTGACATCAGGGCATAGTTTGGCTTAGTTTAGGATTTCATTATTGTTATTTTGTTTTGGAAAAACTCATATTTCATTTTCTTATAAATTTCGCAATTGACCATGATTTATGTTTATGAATGTGAATTCTCTACTCTTATGTTAGTAGAATCATTCTTTTGATTCAAAAGATTTTATTACCTCGAGAATATGTTTTTATAAATATTGTATATGTATGTTTGCGTAGAGGGTGTCACACTTGTAATTTGTTTTGAGTTTTGAGTCTCTTGATAAATAAGAGTGCAAGTTGTGTCTTGTTTTGTGTGTTTTAAGCTTTGTTGTTTGTGTGTTTTGTGCTTGGTAAGTAACTTAGCCTTTTATTTCTATCTAGATGATGATTGATGATTAAAATAAGTATTAGATTTAATTTGTAAAGAGAAATGACATAAAAAAAATTGAGATATTTTGTTTTCACTTAAAATAATCGATTATCTTAAGTAATAATCGATTATTTGCTCTATTTTTCAGTAACATAAGGAGCAGTTGCTCTAATAATCGATAATTGACCAAAACAATCAATTATTTTAGAAATTGATTTATGGAATAATCAATTATTGCTTAAAATAATCGATTATTTCAGTCAAAAACTTATATATATATATATATATCATTTTCACACTTAGAATAGAGAAACTTGAATCATTGTGATATCTTCTTCAAAAATACTCTATGATAAATATTTTTCTTTGCAAGAAGAGGTTTTTTAACCTTTGTGGTAACCTTAAGAAAGGTTTCAAGAATTGAATTTATCATTATGTTCATGGAGTGAAAGGATAAGCTACTTGGTTGGTTCACCTACTTTGATATGTTCTGTAAATCAAGTAAATTTGTTCCGTAGCTTTTGTATTGGTTGTTTTTTTTTAAATAGGTTTCTTAAGAAGGGAAGATCTTGTAGTGGGTGCTACAATTGAATGATTCTTAGGGGTGCAAGAAGTGATTTCTTTAATAATATAAAAGTGTATTACATGTGGTATTATTATTGTAAGACTTCTGATATTAAATATTAGTGAAAATTTTCAATCGGGTTGAATGGAGATTAGATGTAGCTCACAAGTGGATGTTGCTGAACTAATATAAATTAGTTGTGCATTTTTATCTCAACCTATCCTTGACTTTACATTCTTGCAATTCTGTTTTTATATGTATTATGAGGCATAAACATTGCATATCAAATTAAATGAATTTAGTCTTCGATTAAATATGAACTTAGTATCCTATATATAATTATAGCTCAATACACTTCTTTGGAAAGACTTAGAAAAGATTTTCAAAATCAGGAAAATTGTGCAAAAAAAAATTTAAACCAACCAATTCACTCCCCTCCCCTTTTAGTTAGATCATCTTTTATATCAAATGTTGCATTTAAGGATACGTGGAGGGGGTTTCATCCAAGAAGCGATGGGAGAAGGGGATGATGTAAAAGAGGAATTCTACTATGAAAATGATCCTACTGCCACTCAAAAGTGGTGTCTTTAGGAATTGTGCCCATATATTAGACTCTTTTTATTAACTTATGAAATGTCTTAGGCTAAGGTTAAGTTCTCACGTAGAAGTAATAAAATTTACTGTACAAAAAGAACTTACCTATTAAAAATAAAGTACAATATTTGCTTCAATTTTAATATCTTTTACATTAGAAATTTTTTTAGTAGCTCTTAAATCATTTGACAAAGCAAAGAATTTTGGACAATAAAAATAAAGTATACAACATTGAGATTCTTAATTTGAATAAATTACAAATTTAACGATATTAAATATCCATTTAATTCTTTCAAAAATAAATTAAATGAGAAATATTATGAAAAAAAAAATTAG